AATATATACATGTCTTTTTTCAACCTTCCTGTTTATGTTACATTGTATTTACCGGCGGTTGTGTTGTATTGGATTTTACATCGGCACTCCCTTTAATGCAAGATGACGTTCTGAGCTAACAACATAGAGTGAGCTTATCCGAACAGCAATATGGGAAAATATGGACGTGGTTACTCTTTAATGAACCAGCTAAAATCGACGACGCACTACAAAACGTATATAATTAATAGGACAATTTAAAAATATGTAAACCATAAATTGATTAAGTTAAAAGCAAATATGTTTTTCTGGTCACTGCAGCCACAGAGTATTTATCAACCTTCGGCGTTATGTCATAAATTAAACTTTAATGTATTTCTACGAGATAGCGACCATTTGCCCACACCTACATTTAAATGACGCGGTCATGGTTTCCGGTTCCTATCCCCATATAAAGTAATCAGTGAACATGTATACACTATAACAATGATATGTATTGGTTACTGTGTATCTCGTGTTTCATAAGTCAGTGTATTAGGATGAATGTCATTTATTTTTGCACTGCGCTCTGGAATATTATTTTAAGTAATAAAGAGCGCTATACAAATATTCAATATAATTATCATTATCATCGCTATCATGAAACACTGTTACAAAACCTTGAGTAAAAAACATGTATACACTATAGCAATGATATGTATTGGTTACTGTGTATCTCGTGTTTCACAAGTCAGTGTATTAGGATGAATGTCATTTATTTTTGCACTGCGCTCTGGAATATTATTTTAAATAATAAAGAGCGCTATACAAATATTCAATATAATCATAATTATCGTCGCTATCATAAAACACTGTTACAAAACCTTGAATAAAAATACATTAAGTACAGTCATTAACATCTGAAAAGACCCAGAACGCCACTTACAAAGTACGAATTTTTATTTATTTTTCATTTGTGTCATTGTCAACAATTTCAGACATTTTAAATGAATCTAAGACAAATAAATCAGAACTGATAAAAACTGTTGATAAAATGATTGATAAAAAACATTGCTTTATGATTGATGTAAGGAAAATATCTTAAAGGATTCGAACTTTGGGGTAATCCACTTACCAGACTTTTTCTTCAGTAGTTCTTCTCATCATCTACTTATTACTTATTTCTGCTGATGTCTACTAACTGCTACTAGTAGCAATGTCTTTAGAATGCATTGTTTGGAGTTATTTAGATTTATGTATGACGTTTACTAATCTAATATCACCCATCCATTTGAAACAGATTACGAAGACTAAATACAAGGTAAATGTACGTGACTTCTTATTTTTGAAGCTTATATCAGAGAATATCAATATGCCAAAATAATACACCAAACGATCATATTCTTCGTTTAAGGGGACCGTCTTAATATTAGTACAACGACAGATTTATGCAAGAATATGAAAGAGAACTGTTGCAATTATCAGTGTAAAAAAAGATACGGACATTCAATGAATCCTTGTCTACAAATGGTTCATGCATGTAAATGAGCTTCGTTCATCGTGGTATGTTTACCTTTTTTGAAGGTACCAGTTTTTCCAGGTTAAACTTCCTGTAAAACTCAGAAATATTCATCTTAGAGCAATAATAAAGCAATGATTTTATCAACAGTTTCCATCAGTTCTGATGTACTTTTATTTAAAATGTCAGAAATTATTAAAAAAAATGGCACATATAATTGAATCCGCACTTTGTAAGTGCCGTCCTGGGTCTATTCAGATGTTAATGACAACATATAACTTCTTTGGACAGTATTGAATCTAAGGTGATGTTAAATACTAAAGACAAGTTTGGATCAGGCTACTTATTCAGAAAACTAGAGAAATATGCTGTGATGCCGTGACTTTTAAGGTGTAAGTTGTATTCATTTTCACGTTAGCTGGCATAAAAATGTTTCAGACTATTCGGAGACCTGATAAAAGGACAATATGGCCATTAGTTATGGAAGAGAAAATGTCTTTGTCACATTGACGTCACTGGCTTTCCGATCCTGATCCAGAAAAGTTAACGAGTAAACCTGTATACAATATAACAATGACATATATTGATGACTGTATCTCATGTTTCATAACTCATTGTAATGGGGAAAATGCCATTTGTCTTCGTAAAGCGCTTTATAGTGTTTGTTTAGTCATACAGAGCGTTATTTTCAGATGTTTTGTATAATCAGTATTATCATGAATATAAATATTAGCGGTTGCGAAGACATAGGCTCAGAAGGGCACCTACACATAATGGATTTGTTGTTGTCATTTTCAGCATTTCAAGCATTTTCAAGTACATGAAAAATAATGAACATCATTGATTTTGATTAACATAAAATGAAAGCCTCATGATCGCTCTACTTCACAGTTCCTCTCTATAGCCTTGTCTTAACAATTCCTCTCTAAATCCCCTCTAAACATTCCCTCTCTATAGCCTTTTCCATTCTTCGTAGCCGTTATTCATATGCCTGCATGAATTCCTTGTATTGAATATTGATGAGCGGGTTAATTTATTGAAAATTGAAATCCCTTGAATTCGCCAATGGTATATCAAGCACGCTTTGTACGTTTTATTTAAAACAGATACATACTGCAATTATTGTCTGAAATATATATTGTGTACATAATTGAAACTGTTTAAATAGCTTATTGAGACAATACTAATTTTTTACCTATTTCTTTATTTTGTCACTTGTTTTGCTGAATTTGATGAAATTGATTGATTTCCTAATACTGCATCAAGGCCAACTGACATATGAATTCGGAATTGATATAGACCATGCAAGAAACAATATTTGTATGTGAACACACACCGTTTATGCAAAATTGAGACCCTTGGCCTAAGGATGCTCCAGACCAAATTTAGTCAAAATTTACTGGGCCATTCAGTATGGATGTATAATATGACCTTCTGGTCGTAAGGATATCGCCAGCCGACAGTTTTTGTTTATCAATGGCTTACGGAATCTGTTAATAGCATCACATTGTCTGAAATAAAAGGAATTGTTTTTATTTTTAAATATATATTTGTGTTTTAAACATTCTAAAGGAATTGCATCGTTTTTACAAGATCTTACCTCGCCTAAGGAAGCAATCATAAATAGGCATATTTCTTTCGTATGCAACTGTTTGCTATATGACTATAGTATATACACGTATAGGAAATTTGCAAGCCGGACGAATGAAGAACAAAATGAAGTGAAAAAAGATAATTTGAAAAGAGATACATTCATTTTAACAGATTGGTTTGTCTGTAATTTCGAAGCATTAGCGTTCGATTACCTTGGCATACTTTTTACTGTTGTTTCTCCGTCAGAGTACAATCGGTCTATATTTCTTGTTTATGATATAGTCTATCAATCGAAGTCGATTGTAAATATATTATGATAGTGTGATATTATCTATCTCTATTCTAGCTTATTATCTTGAAGAGTGTAAAATTGCTAAAATCATCTTTCTCATACTGTAAAAAGACAAACAATATAATTTACAATTGGAAAAGACAACATAACAAGTATTTTTTGTAAGCATATATTTTATTGCTGATTTAAAAATAAGGTAAACACAATAAAAGATATATCCTTATCGAAAAAGAAAGTGAGAATTCTATTATAAATATAAACATTTCTTCAAAATGGAATAGAATACAGATAAAATACAAAAAAGGTAGATAGTAAAAGGTTTATCACAAAATGGCACCAAAATATAACAATAACAAGTGTATGGCTGGTTAAGTAAGGCACATGTTGTCACAGAGACTGTTACCACTAAAAGTTAATATCTCATTTAAATGATGTCTTTGATCCGAAAGGACCAAAGTGCATCCTCGATACTCCAGGGGTTATGCTCACTTTCGCCCTCTGAACCCCTGTAATATGTAATAGCTAATTGAAATAGAAGGCTCAGTGTGTGCTGCCTTTGGGATAAGACGAGAAGACTGATCAAATGTACATCAAACGATTCTCGTGGTCGCGTAACGGTAAAATTGAATGGCTTTCACATCAGGTGTCGCTCCTTTGTAATCTTCAAGGAAAGGTATCAGTCTAGCAATTGGTCAGGTTTTTTTTACCCGAGACCAGTCAAATTACTCCCTGTGTGTCTTCAATTTTGCCATGGCATAATCCAGGGTTGGAGAGAAAGTGTGGGTAACCCGTGAGTCTTCTTGTTTATCACGGATTGTTTCAGGGCAAGAAAACATGTGGATGGTTTTTAACACGCAATGACATCTTCATGATTATATATATATCACTAGTTCATATGAGCGGACCGAAATCTTCTTAGACGTGGCCATTTATTTAACAGATATTCTGAAACAAAGTTGCAGTAACGTAGACAAAGAAACCACAACTGAAGACATTGAGCAATCATAGTGATATAAAAGTATATTTATCTTATTGTTCCCACAAAAAACATCAAACATCCATATAAATGTATACAACGACGTATTATTGATCCTATGATATCATACTAGTCTTAACCTTTTGAATTTCAGCAAGGATCTTTTAAGTTAAAAGTTGTTCTGATGAATTCATATCATATAGTATAGAGCTGTTTCATCACATAACAAAGAATTTATACCATTGTTCTTTAAAATTATGTTTCCTGTCCACAGTCAAATCTTCAATATCTATGAGATAGGATAAATTATAATCTTCAAATCTGTTAAATAATATGTTTAAACATAGATGTTCATGTCAACATAACAAGCATTTGATACAAAACAAAAATAAACCACAATGACCCGTTTTTTAACATCCCAAACAACAGTTGTATCACATATTTAAATTACAGAAATAATTTAAGTACTATAAACAATGGTTTTATAGTTGTATATCACGCACATATTTTTTATTCCCATTTTTCAAATAAGTTTTCGAAAATATATTGACATTTTTCATGTTGCATTGGTATTTAATTTATGCTACAAAATATGCATTAAATCTAGAATATTTTGCAAAAAACGTTGATTTTTTATAATTAAGAATGCACTCAATCTATATATACATTTGTACATACATTAATATTATTAGAGATGCCTGGACCATTGACAAAAACTGCTAACTCTCAAGCTTGTAAAAAATATACCACATGCTTTTGTGCATTCCAAAAATAAAAAAGAACATTAAAATATATCAACAATTAAAAAATTCATGAGAGGAGAAAATAAAATAAATTCTTTAATAAATACAGTAAGCAGTCAATGCAGGTGCGCGCTCAATAAAAGGACAAATATGGCGACGGTCTTACGCACTGGGTACCTGTAAAATGACCGTACTTCTGGCCGTTACATCAAAATAAATCTGGCTAAGTGCATGTTACTCAAAGACTTACAAAATCCAGTAAAACGTCACAATGTCTGTAAAAAAGAGCTTTCATCCCATGAATTAAGACATTTGTGTTTTAAACATTTTAATGGAATTACATCAAAATACCTAGAGATGACTTTGTATCCGTTATTGAAAAATCGTCCCAGAAAATGTCAAGTCATAAAAGTTCCTTATATATATATAAATGTGTCAATTGTAAACAAATGTTTACATGTGATGGTAAAGTTAAGGCAATGTGAAAACGTAAAACTTAGTAATATAATGTGATATTATAATATAACAAAAACATTGAAGAGGACTATGGTACTACAAGCTTGAGATCATTGTGAAGGAAATATCTGACTATTATGCAATATATATATAAAATTCAAAAGAAAAAAACAAGCTGCATAAAAAGCAGTTATAAGATGATATGGACATTTTTATTATTTGAGTTTTACTTTTCATCACACCCATGTATATCACACGATAAAGGCTAACTAGTAACCTGAAAATTAAAAGTATTTTCATAAAGATAAAAAAAATCATTCTATGATATTCCATATTTCTGGACTGGTAACTAGCCTAATTGTTTTCTTGAATGGTAACACATTTTACCTGTTTACCTCTGTGTAGACACTGTTCTATCAGTGTGTGGTTATTTGAAATACCTTCTGGTTAGCACATCATCATCTGGTAAATGAAGGTAAATGTTTTATTTACATAATTTTGCATCTCTCTAGCAGGTAAAAAAGCACACTTCTATGGCACCACAATACATTTTTCAGCAAAATAAATATTTTCAGAGTAATATATCATCTTTAAAAAATTAACCATGGATTACAAAGAAAACTAGATGGCACAAAAATCTAAATTTAGTGAAACAAATTTCTTTTCCAAGTGAAATATCTTCTTTTAGTAAAAGACCATTGATTACAAAACAAACTAGATGGCATCATATTATTTATGGAATATTTTAACAGCAGATTTTACTTTGTTTTTCTATTGTATTCCAGGTAACATTAACATTGCTCGTAAATCAATCATGTAATTGCTCACAAACTACAATTAAATGTCTTTCTGGAAACAAAAATGTATACAAATGTGCTTATTGCATAAAACAGGATTATTTAACAATTTAAAAATAAATATATTTGCAAATATTGACAAGATAAGCAGATATGTTAATACATACAAATGTTGGATATACAATCTATAGTCAGATATGTTTGTTACGAACTTATTCATATTAGATAAATAAACATGTATATCAATAATATATATGAATAGAGTTCAATACATAAATAAATATATCAGACTAAAACTTTAACGTAACACAAGGTATATCACAGGTAGACAGTTCTGAAAGTACTTTGCATTGAGCTTCAAACATATAATACATGATTGCAAATTCAGGACCGTCCATGTATAGAAATAATTACACTCATGAGAAATGGCCTGTAAAAATGTACGTGTATATTTAATCAATAGAACAATCCTCCTGAGATTCTGATTGTTTGTTATCAAATTTACATTAACATGGCAATATAAATGAAATCAAAGTCTGAAGAGGCAAATCTTACAGAGTGCTAGGTGACAACAACATTTCTCTAGCTTCAATTAGAGAGAAGCTTGATTGGGACGACAATTATCAAACTTTCATGCACCAACACAATGTATATGTATAATCCCTGATCAACAGTTGCCACATTATATTATAACCAGTACAATTCAGATAACAGATAGATAATACAGATGTATAATGTATTTTTCTGATATTATTCTGATAGAAAACACTGAGAAATCTTAAAAAAATCAACATATTGCACAGTCATAAACTTTTTCCAAGTATCAAGGTATAAATCTGTATGACAGTAAAATTGTGTAAATGGTTATTACAAAACAAAAATAAAAGTAAAAGGTAGACATGGGCAAAGTTAGAAATTATTTTTATTGTTTTATTTTATCATATGAATTCCTATATTATAAGGATCACAGATAAACATATCAGGAACCAGAACATGTATTGTTTATTACAAATACTTAGTTCTACTTCTAGTAAGTGATGCTAGAATTAATATTTGAGTACTGTGTGGGTTATCATTGCATCGGTAACATTTTCGCTGTAAGGTCAATACAGTTTCCCCCCACATAAGTATTGCTGGGACACATTTAACGTGAAAGCTGTACATTATCACAACTGATGACATCAATGTCAAATGAATACATTCACTTTGTTGTTGATTAAGACACTCATCGTGGGATAGAGACACAACCTAATAGAGACTGAGAATGCCCAACATCTTGAGTAAATTTTGAGATAAGGGATCTTACACCTACCCTGTAACAAGAGGAAATTCATATATCTTCACTTACATTTGATATAGAGGATATTCTTCATTTCTTGATGAATAACACTTATATTTTACTTGCTGGTTGAATATTTCCAATGTTTTTCACTTGTGCTACAAACTCATAAAAATATCAAAATATTCAAACCACTCGTTAAATATAACTTATTCATCAAAAAAAATAAAAAAAAATATCCTCTATTATTGATGTATATCAGCAAGTTTGAATTAGCTCAGTGAAACATCTGACATTTTAAGTTGTCTTACCAAGGTTTGGTAACATAACAATTCTGGTTTTTAAGAACATTTGTTGCGATATAAGTTCAAGGCATGTCATAATGGCAATGATACATAAAAATACTTAATTTATCCTGATATATACTGAAAACAGTATTGACAGTGGAATATCAATTGAAAACATCATTAAGTGTTTGTAAAAAATATACATAAAATAAAGTAATGAACTGTAAATCGTGCAACGAGAAAATATGCCATCAAATCACAAAAAATAAAATAGAAAGCAATGTGTTTTTTTCTCCATAGATTGGTCATAACCTACGTTAAAACATTAAATCTATTAACTTTAAGCCCTGTAACCTTAACTTTGTAACACTAAACTCTTAACCTTTAACCCTAAGCTCTATAACTTTTAATCTTGCAAACTTCAAACCTGAACCCTGTAGTATTTAACCTTGTAAACTTTGACCTTATGACCTTTAACCCTGAGCTCTGTAAACTTTAACCTGTTTCATTATTGTAAATGACCTACTTTTCTTGATTGCAACTTAAATGTCTCATATGTGAAGCATTTGCAAATTCAACAATAAATAATAAATTCCCAGTTAAAATGTATATGAATAAATGTTCACAACCTATTTCAATTTCTGACTTGTACTTGCATTTAACATGAAAATATGTAGCTTGTGAGGCAGAAATGTTTTACAGAAGGTTAGTCAGAGTACCACAATGTTGAACAAAGTCCAACCAGTGAAGTACAAGTACAACCTAAATATATTGTTGGAGTCATTACAATGACCAAACTATTGCATATCAATGAATACAAAAATCCACTTATCGTAATATTTTCAGAAATTGTCTTAAATGTCCTGAAGCTGCCACAAGTATGACATTCAAGATAATTCTTTTAAAAAAATTCTAAGATATAGCCTTCCTGAAGTCCCATCATTTCCTAATACATAATATGACCTTGCCAATTGAAAAAGTCATCATCAGGATAGATATGGTCAAGTTTTGAAGAATCTGAACAGTACAGTACTTTCTAGTATTGACAAAACAAACTTCTAATAAAATGTTTACATTAGCTGAATACATTAGAAACAATCACACTGAGACATTGTTTAAATAAAATTATGCAAGAAAAAAGACCAGCATTCAAATCAGTGTAAACTACGTATACTCCCTTGTGTATATTTCTACGTAAAAAGATATAAATATCACACAAATATTATCATGATTCCACCTGGAATTGCAAAGCATTCATGGCGGGAAAGAGGTAGCAAAACTGGTTTAATCTGCAAATCAATACTGTTTGACACTCTATAGGGATTGGACAAACAAAAGTAACCCCTTATACCTGATCTATCAAACAGATAGCAGTGCTTCACAACACCACGCAGGCTGTGCTCTTGGCTTGTACAGGTTGTTGATCGGAACCCTGTCCAAGGTCTTTCTCTGCCTTCTTCCCTTCCCTGGGCTTTGGTGAAGGGGTAGATCTCCTAGCCTCAAGGTCAGGCTGTGTATTGGGAGAGGCTGTTCTACTGCTTGCTACTGGTGTAGGATTTGGGCTTACCGATCTTGCAAGTTGTTTCCCATCCTCCTTTGTTGTCATCTTAGCTTCTTCGGTGTCTTCTTTATTGTTTTTTCCACCTTCAGAATATCTAGTTGGAGACTCTACACTTGTATTTTCCTGTTCTTGAAAATCTTTACTTTTTTTCTTCTTTTTCTCTTTCTTTTTCTTCTTTGTCTTAGGGTCAGTAGTTTCCTCTTTGACTGCTGCATCCTGGGAGTTTAATTCTAACATAGCTTCCTTTGTATCCCCTTTGTTCCCCGCCTCAGAACATTTAGACGGAGACTCTACACACATTTTTTCCTGTTCTTGAAAATCTTTTTGCTTCTTTTGCTTGTGCTCTTCCTTTTTCTTGTCAGTTTTAGAGTCAGCTGTTTCCTCTTTTACTGTTGTATCCTGGGAGCTTAGTTCTAACAAAGCTTGTTGTTGGGCTGTCTTGTTCAGTGAGGAGTGTTTGCGCAGTACTGATCTTCTTTGATTTTTCACGACATCGTCAACTCCAGCAATAATATCTGAAAAAATCATACATTATATCATTTTTTGAAGTCTACAGATCAAATCTTAAATATAAAGATATAACTTGTTAACTGTTGTACGTACTCTTGAGTCACCAATTTGGCAGTAAATGATTTGTTTCAGATTAATCTGAACTGAAATCGCCCGTTAGATGTGGATTTCAGTCAGTGACCAGATTACATCTATCAAAGTGAATGAAGTAACAAGTATAAACCAGAGGTTACAGTAATTCAGTTAAGAAATAAATTTGATAAAATTTCACAAATAAAGGGTGCCATTAATGTTTTATTTCAACTCAAAAAGCAAATACATTCAAAGTCTTAAAAACATTCTCTTTCAAATAAAATATAAAACTGTATATACCTGTAAGTTTCCTTTTGGCTTTCCTGTTATTTTTGAATTCAAATGGATGATTTCTTGTGGCCCTAGTCCTCAAAACTTCTAACATTGCGTCCAGCCAGGGCTGGTTGGCGACCATATGCTTGCCTTCCGGACCCTCCTCACTTAGAACGGCGACCTTCATCTGGACTGAGTGTTCCTCACACAGCCAAATTATCTTACCACTGGGCAGACGGCACCTGCAACCATCAGTTATAATAGCCATCACTATCATGAAGAGTGAAACATGCATTTTCAAAAGCAATTAGAATATGTACAGTTCAGGCACTGCAGGCAGAATGAAGCAATTTTACTTACACAATCAAATATATCTGTCACCATAGAAAAAAGAGACATACTTTCAATTGGTTATACCAATAAAGAAAGCCTTGATATACTTTTTTTAAGCACACTGAGCTAATGAGTTTGCCCTTCTGTCTGCTTGTGTCCAACTTATGAACCTTCACTCGCAGACTGTGGTAAGAGGTCTGGAAACTGTCTGAGCAAATCATGGCCAGCTGAATTAAAAGAGTCACAAAATCTTAAAAGCCTACACAGATAAACTAATAAACAATAAGTCATACTGCACAATTGTATTGAAAATATAGATGCAAACTTTTCAAAGAGGCCCAGCTGCACTGTATCAATACAGGAACACTTCAAATGCTTGGTTGCCAATCCTCTTTCCATGGGTTTCATTACAACACTTCCTTGTTGTATTGGGACACAAGCACATGTTTGACATTTTTATAAACTTGAATTTGAAATTACTAGAATAAATTCCTGAGTACAGTACATGTTTGTACAAGTAATTGACATGAAAAAATGTTGGTTGTATTTTTCTTCTTGCATATTTTGCATAAAAGTGACACAGAGAGGTTTTTCCATACCTCCTGTATCCTCTTGAGACAGCGTTTGCCTTCTGCACTGGTGAAAAGGTCAAGGACAAAACCTGAATTGTGCTCCATCACCATAGCAACCCGGGACAGGTAGGGAGTGAAATCCTCCAGGTCATTCATATCCAAATCTTCCTCAACTATGTCTGGATTTCTCTGTAATTAAAATTACCACAATTCAGAATTGTCATATGAGATACTCATAGTTAAGTGGAAGTCTGAAAGAGACCCCATTTTTTAACAAGAATACAAAGTTTTGCTGTTTTTACTGCTCACATTCCATAGATACGGTACCACTTTCCTTTCAGCATCAACAATAGCCTTTCTTATTCATAGAATACTGATCCTTATGAAGATTTCATTTTACATCAAGTCTGTTTTAACTGCTGCAATTTGTGCTAAAAAATCCTGATGATATATAGGGATGTCCTGATTATCGAGAGAAATTTATAAGGAATTCTTATCAAGAAAGAAAAAAGATGACCTTGAAATACCTTGGTAAGAATTAATAAGCAAGGTGGCAAATGATAAGAGTATTGCAAGCAATCAATATAGCCGCAAAGATCAAAAGATGTAGCAATTGTGATAAAGTTATTCAGAATCATCAATCAAGAATATAAATACACTATCCCAAGCTATATAAGTAGTGCAAATTTGGTAAATGTAAGAGCCATAACTCTGTATATAAGTTCGGTGAATGTAGTTAATAAAAAACAAGGAAATTAGGCTCCAGACAAACATCTGTATCAAAAATGTATAAAGGGCCATTACTCTGTATATAATGGGACATGAGATGTTACTTCAGTTTGAATCACACTACCATTCAAATAGATACATGCATCATAACAGATTCAGCAATTGTGATAGTAAGTGACAGAGTATGTTAGATATACCTTGGATAGAGTACCATAAATAAAACATTTTCAAACACAGTGCAATATGATTGCTGGGTACAATATTTCAAATGATAGGTTTAATTCAATATGTTGAATCAGAACCAAATACTTAGAGTGTTTGAAACTTCACAATAACACAAGATTTCATTGCTGGTAATATTTAAGTTACTGTAGAAAAATCGGACTTACCTTCTCAGTGCTTAACACAATAGGATCAGCAACACTATGCCAGCCCTGTAGAAATAACAGTGACAAATACTATACTCAAACAATATATATAGAAACTGTTTACAAGGTTTTAATTTGCTTTAACAGTCACATAATTTAGAAATCCACTTTTATGAAATGCAGTCATCTTGGACATACATATAAACAAAGATGAATCCCTATTTCTGTTCCTGCCCCAAGAGGTGAAAACCCTTCATTTGTCCAAAAATACTTCCCTTTCCCCCAGTTACCAAAATCCATAATTTTAGTCATTTTGAAACAAGAAAAGGTTTCCAGATGGAGGACTGATGGTGGATAGTAGATTTGATGTCAATATTCTGGATCTTATGACTCCTTCTGATGACTTGAGATTTGAGGGAATTTGCTTCTAGTTGTACAAAAAGTGTCTTCTAAAAGTCGGAATGATATTTCTTGCTTTAAAAGATTTCTTACCTGATCACATTCACAAAGGGTGTGAACCTGGTACTCAACAGTTTTACCCATATCTAGAAAAGAAAAGAAACCGAAGTTGCAATGGGCAATATATAACATCAATATTTTATATTTATAAAGTTATTTGAAGTCTCTGACAAAATAAAAAACAGAAATCTGCAATCACATGGTTTTCTCATCTCTAGTAGATCTCTAGATCCAAAGTTATTATACATATCATTATATAGGGATAGGTCAACAATTTTTCCATCAACACTTCACTCCTTGAAAAGGTACTTTTGTATAATTGTATTTCCTGGACAGACATATATGAATCATGTATTACAGGTAACATGATGTAATAATGCTATAAATTTTGTATTTATGTAAAAAGTTTTGATCACATTTAGGGGGGGGGGGGATGATATTATTTTATTGGGGGGATGAGTATTTTATGGGGGATGAAATTTTTATATGACACTGGTACATGTAATGGTTCACAGGACAGTAGGAACTCTATACTAAACATATACATAAACACACTTATTGGAGGTTGTACCCCTGGCCAGTAAATTTCTCAAGAGCATAAAACTATGATAATACTAAGCTGTAGTAAAAATAATTCTGTCTTACTAAATAAACCCTTCTCAAATTTATAAAAAAAAAACATGTTTTACTGTATTTAAATAGCACAGAGTTAGAGATAAATAGATTTTAGTTGTACAAGAACTAAAGCACCACTTTCAGCAATAAATAAATCTGACATATTTCACCTGAAGATTTTTCTTCAATGTCTACCACAAACAGTCGAGGGTAGTTTCCAATGTCATGTGTACTGGCATGGTTGGAAACCTGTCGCAGTAACTTCCTCTGAGCCAGCTCATACATTTCCTGAAAAAGTATAAGCAAATGAAACCTTTACTTTCTTACAGACTCTGGGATAATTATCATATTGCCATTACTTGAACTACAAGAATTCTGTTTTGATTTAAGGTAATTGTTTTTGTGGTCAGTTGATGACCTTATATCCAGTAGTGAGAACTGATACACCTGTTGTAGACCATACCTGGTAAGATATCTGATTGTTCTCCTCAGACTCATCCTTATTGTCCTCCGTGTCAGGGTCTTCACTCGGCTCAGATTTCATGTTGTCCTGGACAAGTCTAATTAATGTTTCCAATGTTTCCTCATTAGGATTGTCCTGAAAAATTGACTTTAGGATAGGCGGTAGAAAGAAGCCCAATCTGGAAAATAAGATAACTTACACTCTTCATACATAACAAAACCACTTCCAAAACTTTCAGATGTAAATTCATTTCATTGGTGTATATTTTATCAAGGAAGCAAAACCAATATTACATTAGTTCCTAATTGACACTAACAGTATTTAGTATTAAATACACAGAATTAATTCATACAGGAGTATCAGTTATACCTGGCAGATGACCCCCAAGGAAGTTTAATGTGCAATGATAACAGTACACCATCTATCAACACTGAAACAATTAATGGGATGAACAGGTAAAAAACTACAAGTATAACCGTAGAAGAACAGTCAAATTGTCAATATATGTGTGCGTACAAAATTTGGTCAGTACAGATCTGAATACACTGTTCTTAACTGGGTTAAAATTTAACAGTTTTAAGAATTGAGAAACCCCATTGATAACACATAAATATGCTAGCATCACATTGGTGTTCACACTTAGAGTGAGGCTTATGCATGCATATTTCAAATTTAGTTCAAATAGAACAATGTTGAAAACATGCAGCTGTATTATGAAACCATTTAACCATTGGTAGCCTCATTATTAAATATGCCTGAATAAGCACAGAACACATTGGCAATTGCATGTAAACAGAGAATGTGCATAACAGATTTGGTTGTAATGAAACCATTTTAGGGTAGTTACTGAATAAAAACTAAACATGACAGATGGATAAATGCACCCAAATACATGTCTTGTTTCTATGAACTGGGGATGTTAAAAGTTATCATTGGATTAAAAGCTGAAGGAGACAACAAATAGAATTCATCCTGCAAACCTACATCTGTGTGAAGCCAGCTGGTTCCCGTGCCGACCACAGCTATGACGATTGGCAGACTGAGTTGTATGGCAAACTTCATCTCTTTCTTGCATGTCTCCGACTTTGCATACTCGTCGGACACACAAGCGACCATGACACGTGCCTCAGACAGACCTTTGGCAATCCTCGCAAACAACTGGTCATTCTGTATGAAAATGTACTTTATTGTTTTAACCTTGGTTACATTAGACCCTTTTCTCAAATGGCCAAGCTATATTAATGTACATTAAACTACGTTGGGGAGGGTAATTGAGTAGTCTTTGTACTTTTTGTATGCCTTTTTTTATTGATGGATCAATCTGAAGTACCTGGAGTAAATACTATGTCACCCGGGAGAGTTCGAGTACATATGGTACTTCATTATGTGTTTCAGTTTTTAACAGTTGTAGAATTCGTATTTGAACTAGCTAGGTTTTCACACCACAGTAAATAGTGTGAAAAATATTTGTTCATCGTTATATGTGGGTTTGACGGCAAGCGCAAAAGATTTCCTCATTAGTGCAAAAAAATAATTATGCACTTGTAACAGGAAAGGCAAAATGCACGGCCAGACCGGGTTTTGAACCGGTACCTTCCGACACTTAATTAATTGATTAACACTTAGTTGCAAATGATATCAGTTAAGACATTTCCATTCAGGATTCACCCATCAAATAAAATGGCTGAACATGTACTGACCACATTGACCTGCTCAGCATCAAGCCAACAGCGTAACCCTCGACCCTCCAGGAAGGTTTTGATTTCCCGATGATCTCCTCTGCCCACAGCACCCGGGATGGACCTGTAAAATTTTCAAAATTGCAATAGGAATTTCTGCTTATTTTTTTATCTCTACCATACCTAAGACAGTTTCTACAAGGAGACATTGTGTACATTGTATAGACACTTCTTGCATCAGGGCATTATATATAGATGTAAAAGAGGAATTTAGGGTTAACAGAATTGATGTGAATTACTTCTATGATGATAATGCATTGGAGGTTAAAACCCTTACATTCTCTAAAAAGGTTTGAGACAAGATGACAAGAGATTTGGAAAAGGATGCAAGACATACTTAGAGCCCATTGCAACAGCCGTTTGAGAATTGACCCAGGAGTAACTGATGAAGCAACTATTGGACGCCTCTGGTCTGGTCAGACTCAGTTGTTCATTCTTCTGTAGAGTGGTCAGTAGTTCAGCAAATTTGGTTTTGTACACATCCTTCTTGGAGTTGATCATGTTCACAAAAACCTACAATATTACAAATTCTACATTAAAATGATCTCCTTTTAACAAATTTATAAAATTTCGGGCAATTACCTTTAAGATTTTGGTATTAAAAAAAAGCAAAAAAGAAAGGCATGCAAGTTCAGACAGTTTTGACTGTGACTGTGGAATCAGACTTACCATATCAGACATGAAGACACCAAGAGTGGCACTCTGGAATCAGACATGAAGACACCAAGAGTGGGACTCTGAAATCAGACTTACCACATCAGACATGAAGACACCAAGAGTGGCACTCTGGAATCAGACTTACCACATCAGACATGAAGACACCAAGATTGGGACTCTGGAATCAGACTTACTACATCAGGCATAAAGACACCAAGAGTGGCACTCTGGAATCAGACTTACCATATCAGACATGAAGACACCAAGAGTGGGACTCTGGAATCAGACTTACCACATCAGACATGAAGACACCATGAGTGGGACTCTGGAATTAGACTTACCACATCAGACATGAAGACACCAAGAGTGGGACTCTGGAATCAGACTTACCACATCAGACATGAAGACACCAAGATTGGGACTCTGAAATCAGACTTACCACATGAGACATGAAGACACCAAGAGTTGGACTCTGGAATCAGACTTACCACATCAGACATGAAGACACCATGAGTGGGACTCTGGAATTAGACTTACCACATCAGACATGAAGACACAAAGAGTGGGACTCTGAAATCAGACTAAACACATCAGACATGAAGACACCAAGAGTGGGACTCTGGAATCAGACTTACCATATCAGACATGAAGACACCAAGAGTGAGACTCTGAAATCAGACTAACCACATCAGACATGAAGACACCAAGAGTGGGACTCTGGAATCAGACTTACCATATCCGACATGAAGACACCAAGAGTGGGACTCTGAAATCAGACTTACCACATCAGACATGAAGACACCAAGAGTGGCACTCTGGAATCAGACTTACCCTAGGAACCTACCTAGGAACAACAATTTCTTAGTTTCTATATAGGATTCTATACTAGTCCATCCAAGTAGACTTGTACACATATCTGTACGGGTTTTAGTCTCAAAACATTGTATTGCTTTCAAGATGAAATGTTGTGCTCTTTCAAGCATTAATATTTCTGTTTTGGATAAACACCATATTTCACAACCATAAGGCTGCAGCATACACTTCACATTTTATAATTCTACTTATACTTATAACATAGACGATATTGTCAACAGTCGGAAGAACACAATCATATAAATACAGAGTTGTACATTCAATATTTCTTCTTTTACAGGAAAAAGTTACAATTTTACTTTTAGCAGAAGAAAATGTAAATCTCTATTTCATACTGTACTCTTCATATATAATAAGCATGTATTGCAGATCAGAATATTTAGGACCATAATTACACATATATCATATGCTTGTGTTGGAATGTTAATTTGCAGATCTGCTATTACTGTACCCTTCCCACATTTTTCAATATTGTTCAACAATTCATTGATAAAAACAAGATACATTTTTGCTGAAAGAGCACTTCCCTGTAATTAGATACCGCGCTCCATTGTTACCCATCTTGACAATTTCAAAGAAATTAATTACTTTACTCTCTAGATAATGTTCCCGTTTCTATTTTTATGGCAATGCAAATATTTACATTATGTACGTTTAGCTATCACAATTTATGAAACAAACTGTAGTTTTAACTGAGTTATGAAATAGATGTATCATTCTTTTGATATAACTGTTTACTGAGTCTCTTTATACAGCATCAAATAATTTGATGGCAGTTTAATTCTGAACAACCCTCTCCCATGTCGAAACGAGTGAGAAAAAAAAAGAATTAAACATTATGAGTATAGAACAACAATAACGCACCTCTTGTATTGCTATGTCACTGTTCTCGGACAGCCACTGGATTCCTTGATCTGTGATGAATGGACACCCTGAAATCAAACTATGTCATGCTGAATCACAAAAATAAGGGCTGGCTCATGTGTTACAACCAACAGCCTGCTCGCTATCTGGTCTCTATACAGACATCATTTTATTTTGATTACAATTTTTGGTGTTCTGCACACCATTTAATACAGTAGTCCTTCTGGTTGTGTATAAATCTATTATAACATAAAGTATGAAACTTAACATGTCTTCTCTGGTTTATTATTTTACAGTTTTGTTGGTACAAAATGTACACAATTTCCAGTTAGAGATAAGTATGTGAATTTCCTTTGTACATAACAACATTATTTAGACAAATGGTTTCACACAGCTGTTAGTACAACTCTTACCTGCCAGTGAGAGGTTCCTCAGCTTCGGTAGTCCAATGTTCTGTATCTTTAAGGCAAGGAAAAACATGTCTGTCACCTGTTCCACTCCAACCAGTGACAAATCTTTTACATATTGATTGGTGTCTATTTTAAAAGCATCCTGTAAACAAAAGTTGGAAAAGAAGCTAAAAATTGTTATACATGTCAGTTTCAGGGGAACACAATAAGGGGAGGACTTACCTGTACATGTCAGTGGGAGGGGAACACAACAAAGGGAGGACTTATACATGACAGTGGGAGGGGACCACAACAAAGGGAGGACTTATACATGTCAGTGGGAGGGGAATAAAACAAGGGGAGGACTTATACATGTCAGTGGGAGGGGAACACAACAAGGGGAGGACTTATACATGTCAGTGGGAGGGGAACACAACAAGGGGAGGACTTATACATGTCAGTGGGAGGGGAACACAACAAGGGGAGGACTTATACATGTCAGTGGGAGGGGAACACAACAAGGGGAGGACTTATACATGTCAGTGGGAGGGGAACACAACAAGGGGAGGACTTATACATGTCAGTGGGAGGGGAACACAACAAGGGGAGGACTTATACATGTCAGTGGGAGGGGAACACAACAAGGGGAGGACTTATACATGTCAGTGGGAGGGGAACACAACAAGGGGAGGACTTATACATGTCAGTGGGAGGGGAACACAACAAGGGGAGGACTTATACATGTCAGTGGGAGGGGAACACAACAAGGGGAGGACTTATACATGTCAGTGGGAGGGGAACACAACAAGGGGAGGACTTATACATGTCAGTGGGAGGGGAACACAACAAGGGGAGGACTTATACATGTCAGTGGGAGGGGAACACAACAAGGGGAGGACTTATACATGTCAGTGGGAGGGGAACACAACAAGGGGAGGACTTATACATGTCAGTGGGAGGGGAACACAACAAGGGGAGGACTTATACATGTCAGTGGGAGGGGAACACAACAAGGGGAGGACTTATACATGTCAGTGGGAGGGGAACACAACAAGGGGAGGACTTATACATGTCAGTGGGAGGGGAACACAACAAGGGGAGGACTTATACATGTCAGTGGGAGGGGAACACAACAAGGGGAGGACTTATACATGTCAGTGGGAGGGGAACACAACAAGGGGAGGACTTATACATGTCAGTGGGAGGGGAACACAACAAGGGGAGGACTTATACATGTCAGTGGGAGGGGAACACAACAAGGGGAGGACTTATACATGTCAGTGGGAGGGGAACACAACAAGGGGAGGACTTATACATGTCAGTGGGAGGGGAACACAACAAGGGGAGGACTTATACATGTCAGTGGGAGGGGAACACAACAAGGGGAGGACTTATACATGTCAGTGGGAGGGGAACACAACAAGGGGAGGACTTATACATGTCAGTGGGAGGGGAACACAACAAGGGGAGGACTTATACATGTCAGTGGGAGGGGAACACAACAAGGGGAGGACTTATACATGTCAGTGGGAGGGGAACACAACAAGGGGAGGACTTATACATGTCAGTGGGAGGGGAACACAACAAGGGGAGGACTTATACATGTCAGTGGGAGGGGAACACAACAAGGGGAGGACTTATACATGTCAGTGGGAGGGGAACACAACAAGGGGAGGACTTATACATGTCAGTGGGAGGGGAACACAACAAGGGGAGGACTTATACATGTCAGTGGGAGGGGAACACAACAAGGGGAGGACTTATACATGTCAGTGGGAGGGGAACACAACAAGGGGAGGACTTATACATGTCAGTGGGAGGGGAACACAACAAGGGGAGGACTTATACATGTCAGTGGGAGGGGAACACAACAAGGGGAGGACTTATACATGTCAGTGGGAGGGGAACACAACAAGGGGAGGACTTATACATGTCAGTGGGAGGGGAACACAACAAGGGGAGGACTTATACATGTCAGTGGGAGGGGAACACAACAAGGGGAGGACTTATACATGTCAGTGGGAGGGGAACACAACAAGGGGAGGACTTATACATGTCAGTGGGAGGGGAACACAACAAGGGGAGGACTTATACATGTCAGTGGGAGGGGAACACAACAAGGGGAGGACTTATACATGTCAGTGGGAGGGGAACACAACAAGGGGAGGACTTATACATGTCAGTGGGAGGGGAACACAACAAGGGGAGGACTTATACATGTCAGTGGGAGGGGAACACAACAAGGGGAGGACTTATACATGTCAGTGGGAGGGGAACACAACAAGGGGAGGACTTATACATGTCAGTGGGAGGGGAACACAACAAGGGGAGGACTTATACATGTCAGTGGGAGGGGAACACAACAAGGGGAGGACTTATACATGTCAGTGGGAGGGGAACACAACAAGGGGAGGACTTATACATGTCAGTGGGAGGGGAACACAACAAGGGGAGGACTTATACATGTCAGTGGGAGGGGAACACAACAAGGGGAGGACTTATACATGTCAGTGGGAGGGGAACACAACAAGGGGAGGACTTATACATGTCAGTGGGAGGGGAACACAACAAGGGGAGGACTTATACATGTCAGTGGGAGGGGAACACAACAAGGGGAGGACTTATACATGTCAGTGGGAGGGGAACACAACAAGGGGAGGACTTATACATGTCAGTGGGAGGGGAACACAACAAGGGGAGGACTTATACATGTCAGTGGGAGGGGAACACAACAAGGGGAGGACTTATACATGTCAGTGGGAGGGGAACACAACAAGGGGAGGACTTATACATGTCAGTGGGAGGGGAACACAACAAGGGGAGGACTTGTACATGTCAGTGGGAGGGGAACATAACAAGGGGATAACTTATACATGTCAGTGGGAGGGTAACACAACAAGGGGATGAGCTACATGTCAGTGGGAGGGGAACACAACAAGGGGAGAAGTTTTATATTTCAGTTAGATTTTATAAACGTATAAGCACTTTTGCAAATATTTCAAAATATTGAGTGTCCTTGGCTTAAGAATTTTCCAGACTAAACGAAACTTCATACAACTATATCCAAGCATGCTACTGGTCATATCATCACCCAGGGCGTCCTGTTATTGCAAAAGTAGCTATTTAAAGGTTTATAAATATTTTACAAAAATGTACCCCTTTGACATTGTAAGTAGGTCAAGGTCATTTACTTTTGGGAAGCTTGATAGCACTCAATGCAAAGTACCTTACTGGCAAACATTGACCTGGGCCTCCTGGTTATTTCGAAGAAGTTGTTTTGGGAATTTTATGTATATTGTGCCTGTGACCTTGAAAGTAGTTCAAGGTCATTTATTTGAAGAAAGCTTATAGCACTCCATCCCAGATACCTTCTGGCCAAGTATCATCACCATAGGTGTCTATGTTACTCAGCAGGAGTTACTCAATGGTTTTAACTTATTTGACCCACATGACCTTCAGCATATATCAAGGTCATTAAGTTGAGGAAATTTCATAGCAATACATCCAATGTAACTAAGTGTATTAGCCAAATATCATCACCCTGAGCCTCCTGGTTATCCAGTTGAAGGTTTTTAAATGTCACCCAGGTAAAATACTAGCCACTTCCTACTGACTCGGGTAGAGAGAATTTCTCTTTAGCTCATTCGGTAGAGCGTAAGACTCGTAAGCCAGAGGTCCTGGGTTGGACTCCTGGTGGAGGCATTGATAAAATGATGACCCCTGTTACATAAATGTTTCTATATATTTGACCCTTGTGCCCCTTGAAAGTAAGTCAAGATCATTTATTTAAAAATAAATCTTTATAGCACTCCATCACAGAACAATAGGAGGATATTTAAATGTCAGAGGGAAGGAAACAGAACAATAGGAGATTTACATGTCAGAGGTGGGAAACAGAACAATAGGAGATTTACATGTCAGAGGTGGGAAACAGAACAATAGGAGATTTACATGTCAGAGGTGGGAAACAGAACAATAGGAGATTTACATGTCAGAGGTGGGAAACAGAACAATAGGAGATTTACATGTCAGAGGTGGGAAACAGAACAATAGGAGATTTACATGTCAGAGGTGGGAAACAGAACAATAGGAGATTTACATGTCAGAGGTGGGAAACAGAACAATAGGAGATTTACATGTCAGAGGTGGGAAACAGAACAATAGGAGATTTACATGTCAGAGGTGGGAAACAGAACAATAGGAGATTTACATGTCAGAGGTGGGAAACAGAACAATAGGAGATTTACATGTCAGAGGTGGGAAACAGAACAATAGGAGATTTACATGTCAGAGGTGGGAAACAGAACAATAGGAGATTTACATGTCAGAGGTGGGAAACAGAACAATAGGAGATTTACATGTCAGAGGTGGGAAACAGAACAATAGGAGATTTACATGTCAGAGGTGGGAAACAGAACAATAGGAGATTTACATGTCAGAGGTGGGAAACAGAACAATAGGAGATTTACATGTCAGAGGTGGGAAACAGAACAATAGGAGATTTACATGTCAGAGGTGGGAAACAGAACAATAGGAGATTTACATGTCAGAGGTGGGAAACAGAACAATAGGAGATTTACATGTCAGAGGTGGGAAACAGAACAATAGGAGATTTACATGTCAGAGGTGGGAAACAGAACAATAGGAGATTTACATGTCAGAGGTGGGAAACAGAACAATAGGAGATTTACATGTCAGAGGTGGGAAACAGAACAATAGGAGATTTACATGTCAGAGGTGGGAAACAGAACAATAGGAGATTTACATGTCAGAGGTGGGAAACAGAACAATAGGAGATTTACATGTCAGAGGTGGGAAACAGAACAATAGGAGATTTACATGTCAGAGGTGGGAAACAGAACAATAGGAGATTTACATGTCAGAGGTGGGAAACAGAACAATAGGAGATTTACATGTCAGAGGTGGGAAACAGAACAATAGGAGATTTACATGTCAGAGGTGGGAAACAGAACAATAGGAGATTTACATGTCAGAGGTGGGAAACAGAACAATAGGAGATTTACATGTCAGAGGTGGGAAACAGAACAATAGGAGATTTACATGTCAGAGGTGGGAAACAGAACAATAGGAGATTTACATGTCAGAGGTGGGAAACAGAACAATAGGAGATTTACATGTCAGAGGTGGGAAACAGAACAATAGGAGATTTACATGTCAGAGGTGGGAAACAGAACAATAGGAGATTTACATGTCAGAGGTGGGAAACAGAACAATAGGAGATTTACATGTCAGAGGTGGGAAACAGAACAATAGGAGATTTACATGTCAGAGGTGGGAAACAGAACAATAGGAGATTTACATGTCAGAGGTGGGAAACAGAACAATAGGAGATTTACATGTCAGAGGTGGGAAACAGAACAATAGGAGATTTACATGTCAGAGGTGGGAAACAGAACAATAGGAGATTTACATGTCAGAGGTGGGAAACAGAACAATAGGAGATTTACATGTCAGAGGTGGGAAACAGAACAATAGGAGATTTACATGTCAGAGGTGGGAAACAGAACAATAGGAGATTTACATGTCAGAGGTGGGAAACAGAACAATAGGAGATTTACATGTCAGAGGTGGGAAACAGAACAATAGGAGATTTACATGTCAGAGGTGGGAAACAGAACAATAGGAGATTTACATGTCAGAGGTGGGAAACAGAACAATAGGAGATTTACATGTCAGAGGTGGGAAACAGAACAATAGGAGATTTACATGTCAGAGGTGGGAAACAGAACAATAGGAGATTTACATGTCAGAGGTGGGAAACAGAACAATAGGAGATTTACATGTCAGAGGTGGGAAACAGAACAATAGGAGATTTACATGTCAGAGGTGGGAAACAGAACAATAGGAGATTTACATGTCAGAGGTGGGAAACAGAACAATAGGAGATTTACATGTCAGAGGTGGGAAACAGAACAATAGGAGATTTACATGTCAGAGGTGGGAAACAGAACAATAGGAGATTTACATGTCAGAGGTGGGAAACAGAACAATAGGAGATTTACATGTCAGAGGTGGGAAACAGAACAATAGGAGATTTACATGTCAGAGGTGGGAAACAGAACAATAGGAGATTTACATGTCAGAGGTGGGAAACAGAACAATAGGAGATTTACATGTCAGAGGTGGGAAACAGAACAATAGGAGATTTACATGTCAGAGGTGGGAAACAGAACAATAGGAGATTTACATGTCAGAGGTGGGAAACAGAACAATAGGAGATTTACATGTCAGAGGTGGGAAACAGAACAATAGGAGATTTACATGTCAGAGGTGGGAAACAGAACAATAGGAGATTTACATGTCAGAGGTGGGAAACAGAACAATAGGAGATTTACATGTCAGAGGTGGGAAACAGAACAATAGGAGATTTACATGTCAGAGGTGGGAAACAGAACAATAGGAGATTTACATGTCAGAGGTGGGAAACAGAACAATAGGAGATTTACATGTCAGAGGTGGGAAACAGAACAATAGGAGATTTACATGTCAGAGGTGGGAAACAGAACAATAGGAGATTTACATGTCAGAGGTGGGAAACAGAACAATAGGAGATTTACATGTCAGAGGTGGGAAACAGAACAATAGGAGATTTACATGTCAGAGGTGGGAAACAGAACAATAGGAGATTTACATGTCAGAGGTGGGAAACAGAACAATAGGAGATTTACATGTCAGAGGTGGGAAACAGAACAATAGGAGATTTACATGTCAGAGGTGGGAAACAGAACAATAGGAGATTTACATGTCAGAGGTGGGAAACAGAACAATAGGAGATTTACATGTCAGAGGTGGGAAACAGAACAATAGGAGATTTACATGTCAGAGGTGGGAAACAGAACAATAGGAGATTTACATGTCAGAGGTGGGAAACAGAACAATAGGAGATTTACATGTCAGAGGTGGGAAACAGAACAATAGGAGATTTACATGTCAGAGGTGGGAAACAGAACAATAGGAGATTTACATGTCAGAGGTGGGAAACAGAACAATAGGAGATTTACATGTCAGAGGTGGGAAACAGAACAATAGGAGATTTACATGTCAGAGGTGGGAAACAGAACAATAGGAGATTTACATGTCAGAGGTGGGAAACAGAACAATAGGAGATTTACATGTCAGAGGTGGGAAACAGAACAATAGGAGATTTACATGTCAGAGGTGGGAAACAGAACAATAGGAGATTTACATGTCAGAGGTGGGAAACAGAACAATAGGAGATTTACATGTCAGAGGTGGGAAACAGAACAATAGGAGATTTACATGTCAGAGGTGGGAAACAGAACAATAGGAGATTTACATGTCAGAGGTGGGAAACAGAACAATAGGAGATTTACATGTCAGAGGTGGGAAACAGAACAATAGGAGATTTACATGTCAGAGGTGGGAAACAGAACAATAGGAGATTTACATGTCAGAGGTGGGAAACAGAACAATAGGAGATTTACATGTCAGAGGTGGGAAACAGAACAATAGGAGATTTACATGTCAGAGGTGGGAAACAGAACAATAGGAGATTTACATGTCAGAGGTGGGAAACAGAACAATAGGAGATTTACATGTCAGAGGTGGGAAACAGAACAATAGGAGATTTACATGTCAGAGGTGGGAAACAGAACAATAGGAGATTTACATGTCAGAGGTGGGAAACAGAACAATAGGAGATTTACATGTCAGAGGTGGGAAACAGAACAATAGGAGATTTACATGTCAGAGGTGGGAAACAGAACAATAGGAGATTTACATGTCAGAGGTGGGAAACAGAACAATAGGAGATTTACATGTCAGAGGTGGGAAACAGAACAATAGGAGATTTACATGTCAGAGGTGGGAAACAGAACAATAGGAGATTTACATGTCAGAGGTGGGAAACAGAACAATAGGAGATTTACATGTCAGAGGTGGGAAACAGAACAATAGGAGATTTACATGTCAGAGGTGGGAAACAGAACAATAGGAGATTTACATGTCAGAGGTGGGAAACAGAACAATAGGAGATTTACATGTCAGAGGTGGGAAACAGAACAATAGGAGATTTACATGTCAGAGGTGGGAAACAGAACAATAGGAGATTTACATGTCAGAGGTGGGAAACAGAACAATAGGAGATTTACATGTCAGAGGTGGGAAACAGAACAATAGGAGATTTACATGTCAGAGGTGGGAAACAGAACAATAGGAGATTTACATGTCAGAGGTGGGAAACAGAACAATAGGAGATTTACATGTCAGAGGTGGGAAACAGAACAATAGGAGATTTACATGTCAGAGGTGGGAAACAGAACAATAGGAGATTTACATGTCAGAGGTGGGAAACAGAACAATAGGAGATTTACATGTCAGAGGTGGGAAACAGAACAATAGGAGATTTACATGTCAGAGGTGGGAAACAGAACAATAGGAGATTTACATGTCAGAGGTGGGAAACAGAACAATAGGAGATTTACATGTCAGAGGTGGGAAACAGAACAATAGGAGATTTACATGTCAGAGGTGGGAAACAGAACAATAGGAGATTTACATGTCAGAGGTGGGAAACAGAACAATAGGAGATTTACATGTCAGAGGTGGGAAACAGAACAATAGGAGATTTACATGTCAGAGGTGGGAAACAGAACAATAGGAGATTTACATGTCAGAGGTGGGAAACAGAACAATAGGAGATTTACATGTCAGAGGTGGGAAACAGAACAATAGGAGATTTACATGTCAGAGGTGGGAAACAGAACAATAGGAGATTTACATGTCAGAGGTGGGAAACAGAACAATAGGAGATTTACATGTCAGAGGTGGAGAACAGAACAATAGGAGATTTACATGTCAGAGGTGGGAAACAGAACAATAGGAAATTTACATGTCACAGGGAGGGAACCAGAACAATAGGAGATTTACATGTCAGAGGGAGAAACCAGAACAATAGGAGATTTACATGTCAGAGGGAGGAGAAAAACAATTAGAGTAGGAGTTATATACTTCTGTGGGAGCGATCGCGAGACACACAGCAATAATTCATATATTTTATTTTATTTGAGGAGACAGGCATTTTATTGTCTGTTTAGATATTTACCATGGCAAATGACAAACTGAAGTGGTCAAACACTTTTTCTTCTACAAGTTTCTTGTTATCCAGGGTTACTAGAGAGACAAAAGAAGGTAAAGTTTACACTTTATAATGTCAAGTTTGCTGAAAGCAAGTTAAAGTTGGTAGATTTTATGCTCATCTATTTTATACGAAAGCTGATGCCCATAGCAATATAAAAAAACACAGCATTTTTCTATTCACATTTAGCTTATGTTATAGTCTTACAGCAAAGCATTGTTTAAAATTATGTTTGATAGTTACTTTTCAGATGCACATGGAAACTAATATGATAGACACTGCCAGAGTCACAGTAAAAACATCTCAGAGGTATTGAATACCAAAGGCTTTAAGACTGAAATAAGCAACATACTATTTCAAAATAAATACCTTCAGGTAGCTGCTGTTGCTGAATTTCTTTCTCTGAAGAACCAAATTGAGGTGTCTGCTGATTTTTCCCAAACTCCAAACCTCCTTCACGAGGTGAACCAAACCTAGAAGATGTTTCAGGTGTCTGCTGATTTTTCCCAAACCGAAAATGTCCTTCACTATGTAAACCAAACAAAGATGATTTGTTCTCTTCAAAAACATCATATTGGTATTCTGAGTCCATGTTCACTGTTTTGAAAGATGGTGCTGATTCTGTAAATTGAAAGGTACTATAAAATTTGAATTAACTAATATGACAATGATAACTTTCCTTCATTACACTTTTTATGCTAGCTGTTCTTCATATACAGTGTAGATTTTAGAAAATGTTATGATACAACTTACTTCAGGGGCTCCCAAACTGCAAATATGTCTTTGATCATTCATCCCAGACTCAATCAACAAAGGTATTTTTATCTCAAAAAAAATACTTTTGAATAAATGGATAAAATTGTGAATGCAGTTAACACATGCTCAAATTAGACTGTTCACTGTACTGGTGGAACATTATTCTACAATTACGCCAATTTGCTACTTTTATTTACAGATTTCCTTTTAACAACAACGTACATATTGTAATATGGTGTGTCATTGACCTGGCCCCTGTTACGATGTGTCATTGACCTGGCCCCTGTTACGATGTGTCATTGACCTGGCCCCTGTTCATCACAGGAACTGCAAAAACAATAAGTTTCCATAGAAAGCAGTCAATCCCTCAAATCGGTAGTTTAATCATACAATTGGGTAAACAGTCTCTGTTTACAGCTACCATTTTATTAATGAGATCCCAGAGAGAGCTTGGCGCCCACCATTGTACCATTTTCATTTGTTCTATGTCAGTTTGATCTTTTCTCTTCTTTTCTCTTATCTGTTTGATTGAGTCATGTAAACAGTAAATGCACCCTGAGGTAACCATTTTGTTTATTCAATCAATCTCAAAAATAGACATGCACAACAAGAGACAAAGGAGACCTAGCCTTACTTATCAGATTTGAGAAAGATTTCTCAAGGACTTCCTGAGAAATAGCAATAACAAACATTCACTGTCAAAATCCACCTGTTGGTCATTTTGTTAAGCTGATCAGTCTCAAAAGAAATCATGCACAACCAGGGAACATGGGGCAGATACAAATCAAATTTGAGAAAGTTTCCTCCAGCACTTTCTGAGAAAAAGCAATAACAAGATTTGTTTAAGGATGGACCACAGACCACTGTATTTGGACAACAGGCAATTTGAATAGCCCACCAGCAGATGAATCGGTAAAAACACAGAAAGCTCTTTTAAATGTTTGTAGCATCATTCTTTTAATATAGTATAACTTCATAATAAAAATTAACATGTCAAAAAGATATTTTAATCCAATAAATAATACAATGATCTAGGTACAATGTAAAAAACCACCTGTATTATAGTCACCTGCAGTCTCCTTCATAATCATCCAGCGGAAGATTTTGGACATAAACTCTATGCAATGTATTAATTACAAGTGCATGTAATTGAATTCTTTCAATTGTTGAATTTGAAATTAATTGTCAATGTCATCACTTGTACATTATATATGTATATATGAAGTATTTTGTTGATAGGAGATCGCTTCACAAGTTGCTATTACTTGTGCCAAATCCTTTGTACCTATTTTGGACCATAAAATATGTTTAACCCTTTTACCCGACTGTAGACCATAATGGATTCATCCAAATCAATCCATGGAAGAGTTTAATAAAGTTACATAGGGGTGAAAGGGTTAAAATCAATCATCTTATCTATACTTATATAATTCAAAGCATTTACGTTGCATACATTAAAAAACCATATAGAATATATAAAATGTCATGCTCCCTTGTCAAACTTGTACTGGATGCTCCAAATGTTTACACACTATAGTTAGTGGGAAACAAAAGCAGTCTTAGATACCAACTTGTCCATTAAACAAAATGCTAAACATCAGAACTGATAATTTTTATGCACTTTTGTACCTCACTGAATTATTAATTGGATGATGTTGAAACTATTTTTTTTCCTGTTGTTGAGAAGACATATTTATGTCTGAATTTCCCTTTTTGCTATAAAAATTTAATCCAAATGCTGAAGATTATTAGGCCCCTTAAAATTTGTGTATCCAGTTCGATCAACCAGTTGAAACGGTTGAACCTGAAAGAAAGTGACAGGCACAGATCTGAACCGAGGCTTAAATTACCTCAGGAATATATATAGTACGTGATTCTGCATATGTAGATTGAGGGGCCGCACTCAGACATGCCTGACCCAGAGACGTATATAACACGCTTTATACGTCTCTGCCTGACCGAAACTGTAATATTATTACTTTATAAAACAAGCTTATAATTAATTAATCCACATGTAGATTTTAAGATATGTTATATATAATATAGTCAAGAAGCGTAAAAGAAGGACATATTATTCTTGATTTATTGTTGTTTATTCTCTGAAACTATGATTTTAAGTTTTTTAGCTCTTCCTGTAAGTTCGGTCCCTGTGTGTTTGCTTAAATTTTCGTGGAATAATTCCTGTGCCTGACCAAAAACGTTTCAACTGGAATAAGTGAATTTAACCTTAGAATTGCCCATATATGAAAGGTTATGCCCTGCTTGTTCATAACGCCTCCGAACTTGTTCAGGCAGGCATGCACACATTGGGAGTTGTTTAGATAACATACAGTGGTTTTACCCGAAATTTAACAACAGCTTTTTCCTTTATAAATTGGGAAATATATAGCATTAGTTTTATTGAAATTGGAAATATCTTCCTCATGTTATGGTCAGATGCCCATTGGAAGCTCTTGTGAAATCTTTACCATTGAATTAACATGTTTAAAACCTGTTTTGGTTAATACCATTAAGAGCTAGTCAATTAAGTCACCAATATGATCTGTAATATAAGGCCCCGAATGTTTTTCTCTTACTACAGTATAAGCATGTTCTACGGATAAAAGGAACAAACCCTTATTATTGAACAGAGCACAGACCCCGTGTGAGTGCTGATCCAGCTTTCTTGAATAGATACATCATCTGTGTAACTGTTAAAAGAATTTCAGGCTAGTTGCAAGTTTTACCAGCATCCGCATGGTGTAGTCAAGACGCCATCATGTAAATAACAACATCCATCCTAAAACGTTGCACGTGACAGGCACCGGATCTAGCTTTTAGGCGTTTTGATTGGACAAAAGTTAATCATGACTCTATTTATAGTACAGGGAAATACTGTGGAAAAACCTATGCTAGTTTCAGTTTCAAGACGTTAGAAGTTACTGGTGCCCAAGGATGGTACGTTTTGACAAAAATGAATTATATCATTCACACATTTTAAAACATTGTTTTTTTTCGGTAAATTACAAATCTATCTCATATAGGCTAGTATTAATGTAAATATGAACATATTGACTTAATAATAAAGTATTAGGAGGTGAAATGTTGAGTTGCATGGAGGAAATAAAAAAAATATCTATTGAACTATATGATTTTAATGCTGATGAAAAATATAAACCGAGAACAATTATATATGCAATCTCAAACGATCATTGGTTGTGAAATTCAGATTTATAGAAGTATACAGTAGCCTATATTATATATTACACTTTATATGTGATGCACTTTCAGTTTGTTGGGTTGACTTTGGGGAATTCGAATGTGTCATCATTATTATTTCATTTATCAATAGTATGACTTAATTGCAGATTGGATGTAATACCCTTAAAAGTACTTTTGCATCTAAGCAAGTTTTTTTTAATATTTTAACGTTATGAAACAAGGATATAAGTGTAACAAGAAAGAGAATAGTGTGCTTCCACCAGGGATCGAACCCTCGATCTCCAGGTTCCCAGTCAGACGCTCTACCACTGAGCTAAAGGGAAATTCCCTCTAGTTTGAAGCTAGAAGGCGTTAATCCTATGTACAATTGAACCCTGCCACACTGCTCCCCCTTTTTAAATGTGTTTGCCCTCGAACACCACAACCCAGGTTCTAACTCCCTGTCACCACACCGACGGCCACAGACCATTTGTAACAGGAAAGAGTATAGTGTGCTTCCACCGGGGATCGAACCCTCGATCTCCAGGTTCATCAGTCGGACGCTCTACCACTGAGCTAAAGGGAAATTCCTTAATCCTATGTACAATTAAACCCTGCCACATAAGTATCCCCTCCCCCCCCNCTCCCCACCATCCCCTGCCATCTTAAAGGTGCTATTTAGTCAAATGACAATCTGAAAATCGAGGTGCTGATGTAACAGGAGAAAGAGAAAATGTAACAGCCAGACCGGGGGTTCAAAACTCTTGGCTGAAGCTTTACCAATTTAGCTACCTGGTTGCCGATCGACCCGGTCCAGTTCTGCTAACCTCCTCCCTCCTTTTTCTAAGTCTTCACCCCCAGAGACACAGCTATTTGCATCCCAAGTTCGGTTATCCCCTTTTTAAGCATATTCCCAATGCTTGAAACAAGGGTTGCATGGCAAACTTGTCAATATTGTAACAGATCAGTTCTGAAAAGAGTAAAAGTAATGGCCAGACAAGGATTCGAGCCCGGGACCTTCCAAACTCTAGACGGATCGCGATGCTCTAACAATTGAGCTACCTGGATGCCGAAGATCGACCCAGTCTAGATCTGCTACACTGAAAATATATATCTAACGAAAATTAATGTATGTTCATAAGAAGCATAAACTATATTATCATGAACAATTTTGTGACTAGATTAAAAAAAACACCATACTTCACTAAATTGTCCTTTTAAAACAGCCCGGTCAGTTAAAATGTATGCAGATGTTAGATATATTATTACCTGTTAACTTTGATATATTATAACCAGTGTATGTTGTGACCTAATTAAGCCTGAGTGTGACGTACCCCTCCCACAGGTTATTGTTTCTGGAACATATAAACAGCAGATATATAACTGTTATTACATGGGTGTATATGAACAATAAGTTAAAGTAAAAAGTCATTATTGAGCCTAGCACAAAACAGATGTGTAGGACATGAAGGAATGGCTATAACACTATAGCATTCAGGTATGTGTACCATGTGTTGGAGATGAAGAAATTCGAAAGGCTATAAACACTAGTTATGACCATAACCGTGTGTAGGTTTATTGATTGATGGGGCTTTTAAAAATAATGTCCTTGTTCCTGTTATTATTAAGCCTTAGACAAAAAACATGCATATAGGGCATTGGGGAATAACTAACACTTGAAAGCAAATTAAGTCAGACCTATAAAGAAAGATTAATAAAATCTATTACCTGTTACTGAGCGAGATCGGGTTATCTCAGTCGATGGTTAAGATTCTGTAACAACATCCCAACTGAGGCGTAAGCCGAGGTTGGGATGTTACAGAATCTTAGCCCGAGACTGAGATATCCCGATCTTGCTCAGTTACAGGTAATTGATTTTTTTTCTCGCACCTTTTAGTTCGAAAAAGACTCAATTTTGCTAAAAACTACAAGTATCCCGCCTTGAGCCTCAAGTGATAATGACCTCTTCACTACTTAAACTACAGTAGTATAAAAACGTAGTCCGTCCTTACATAGATTACAACATATTTCATAGTGTTGATTATATTTTATCTACAACATCAAATATCTTACAACATCAAAACTATACATATAACTACAAAACAGAACATTTATAATGCAAATTGTCTATTTCAAGCAGTTAACGTGCGGATAAATACATCGCAGTGTAAAAATTCCGCGAAATGTAGTGTAAAGGTACAAGACAGATTGGACGAGATAGAAAAATCTAGCATGGGGTATGACGTTGGATATATCTGTCTGAGGTGCGAGAAAATATTTGTATATTTTGTTTTATCCGATTATGAACTTATATTTCATTCACTTTTTGTTCATAAAATCAATTTTCTTTCTGTTATTTATAGAAAAGCTTGAACTGATTAAGAAGAAAACCACTTTAGCATGCTAATATGACACATTATCAAGCAGTAAATGGAATAGGTGAAGGTAGGTATATACTTAAACTTCCTTCTCACTTTTGTTGATGTATTTGAGATAGTTTGCAGACTTAAGTTTAGAATGTTATTTAAGAAAAGTATTAAATGTATTTTAGAGTGACATCATATATATAATCCAGCTCAATATTCTAAGCACATACCAGTTACAGTTTGACAGTTTCTAAACGATTATTTGTTTACCCTGTGTCAGATTCAGTCCAAGCTCATTTACATATCAAATCGGTGTGTGTATTTATTTAACATCAATTTTATTTTTGTATTGACTTTGAAACTATTTGATACTTCTTAGAATAAGTAAGTGGAGATTTTTGTAAGATATTCATTGTATTAATTAATCCCACTAAACGTCCCAGCATGCCAGGCTGAGATATTTGTTAGTCCCCAACCATTACTACAGCGACATATCTGGGAGCTTTATTTCCATTTAGACAGGCAGTCAGTCCATCTTTGTGTCATGTTGTCCAGGGTATATCTTATGTATACTCTGTCACCTGAACTTGTCAAATTCAGCTACCTGCATGGTCGCCGAAGATCAACCCAGTCGTGTTCTGCTGCATTTCTCCCTCCTTTTTCTAAGTCTCTGCCACTGTAGACATACCCTATTTTCAACCAAGGGTTGGTATCCCCTTGCCAAGATTTCACTTAGTACATGTGCTTGATAGAAGGGTTAGCAAGCTTGCCAAATTTGTAATAGAAATAGAAATGCACAGCCAGATCAGGGTATCTGAGAGCCTCTAAACTCTAGATGGATGCTCTAGATCTACCAATTGAGCAACTTGGTTGCAGACAATTATCCCAGTCCAATTCTGCTACACTGAAATCAGGTTTTATGCCCACTATGAACAGAGTTATGGCCCTTTGTTCATTTCGCAACACATTTTATGGGACATATCTCATATACCCTATCACGTACAGTTGCTGACTTTGTGACTTCATGTATTGAAATGGGATCTCACAACTTAGTTTCCAATCGCTGTCTGGAGATTGGGAAACTACAGATTTATCATAATGTCTTTCCTCATTCAAAATAAAAAAGAACATATTCTATGTTCCCCAAGATGTTTCCTATAAATGATAAAAGCCCAATGTTCAGCCTGACCATCGGAGGTTCAGAAAAGTCCCTGTCTAATATTAAGAATTAATAAGAAGAAAGTGTTCTTGACTTGACTTATGATTTAAAAAATAAAGTGAGTCGGACACTAAAAATTCTTCTTTGGAAATCTATCTCTGGTATGTTGTTTCACGAGAACCAAACATGCTTTTAGGAATAGTTTCAGTAAATGGTTTTACTGTCTGTTCAGGTGATACTTTCCAGTCAGGTGTTACCTAATGCATGTTTTCAATAAGGTTTATCAGTTTGAAAAGAAATAAGGCATTTGTTCTAACATTGAAAATGTACATATAAATGAGTGTTGCAACGTTCGGACAATGTTAATACATGTCTCATTAAATGAATGTGTTTTATTAAATAAATGTTAGTACATGTTTTACTCTCAATTATTTTGTCTGTTGTATAGATCACAGGAAAATCGGCCAGCCTCAACCTGAACGAGTAGCTATGGACCACAGCCATACAATTCATTCCAGTCCTTCTGGTGGCGATACACACACAATGATGACAACAATTTTAAAAGAGGTGATTTAGTGTAGTGAAGAGCCAAAATATTTACACCTTTTTTAATATTTGTTAAGAAGCTGATGTCACCTTTATTTCAGTTCAACTCTTCTGTTTTAATTTTTACGCAGTACATCTTTATTTGCCAGGATAAACACCATTTTCCAAATAAGCCTGGCCCTTTAAACGTGTTTTCTGTTCAAAACAATGACATATACCCTTTTATAGCAGTCTTGCCTATTTTTTTTCCGTTGTTGTACATTAGTTACGAAATTATCAAATACCCACACTTTAATTTAGATAGAATAGACCCTAACTGTCCCTAAATGCATGAAGAGATATTTGGGAAAATCAGACAAACTTTCATTTCATTGGGAAAAATTGCCTAGTAATGAAATTGTTCAAAGTCGTTTATTTTTTCAGCATGTGATACAATTGTAATCAATGATTTTGATCAATTTATGATATTATTCCACATGTGTTTATAGGATTCCTACAAGTATATCAGTGTTTTTGGGATCCTCATATCACAGTATTGTCTATAAACCTGTGGTTTCAGGTCCGAGATATCAAGCAGTCCTTACTGAAGATAGACCATCTACAAACCACAATTCTTAGTGTACAGCAAAGTCTTGGTGGCCTCAACGAAAGGGTAGAACAGGTATCAACCACTCTATTGCAGTCACACGAACAAGTGAACCACCACCGACAAGGGAGACAAACGGAGGAGGTGGTGGATAATACCGTGAGAAATCAGGTGAATGAAACACTCCCATCCTCTGTACAGGCTTCAAGGTCAAATTCCAAGGTTGACGGCAGTTTTTCAGGTGCTGAGGAAATAAAAGACGAACATAAACCTGAAAGAAACCGTGACAACAGGGATACACATCCTGTTGTAACAGAAACAAGTTTTATCAGACGACAGTCTTCCACACAAGATACAAGACCCAGTGCTGACAGAAGTACACCTGTATTGCCCAGTGGAGATTCAATGCAGATGAACTCTCCTGCTACCAGAGGATTACCAGTGGAAAGATCCCTCTCCAGTACCTCTCAACAAGAAACACAGTTCAACGGAAATACCAGCGTGGAGCCACAACCAAATATCAATTTTGATGCTTTCAAGATCAAAATTACACCACGAAAAAAAGACAACAGGTTCAAATATCATAAAATGTCCCCATCAGATTTAGAGAGAACTCCATCACCTGTGACGCCAGTAAGAACAGAAGAACCACCTGTGACGCCAGAAAGAACAGAAGAACCACAGAGCATGGACGACCTTGACCCTGTGACCTCCTTACAATCACAGGAAGAGGAAGAAGTTGTTCAAGAGTCTGATCAACCAAGATCTATGACAGACACAGTCCAGCCGATACAGGGTACAGAATCAGAACAAGCAGAAACTGAAAGCCCTTCCCAAGAGATGGAGTCTGAATTGGGTAATGGTGAAAGGGATGACACGGAAACACCAGTCAAGGTGACCGAGGAAATAGCAACAGCCACCGTTAAACCAATAATTGCAGCAATAAGGTAAAATTTAAGTTTTATTTAACAAACAGTCTGATATTGAGATTTACTGAAAGTATATGGAATTTATAATATCAATTAGCCTGTCATATATTAAAGAAATCAGAGAAGCACACATTTTGAATACAAAGTTATTAAGTAATATTGTATCAATTTGGTATTTTTCTGTTATTTATTATAAAATTATTGAAGTTCCTTACATTCTATGAAGGATGTTCTCTCAGATGTTTGTGTCATATTTGTTTAGCATTGTGTATGTTTGGAGACAGCTATCGTATCAAAGATAATTGAAAACAGTTACTCTATCTTCTAATCTTTTTTTAATATCGTCATATAACATTGATTTCTTTTATCGCAAAAAAACGTAGATAGCTGTAGTCCTGGTAATGATTTCCTAAAATAAAAATGCACTTCAACTTTGCTATTTTATCTTAAGACACATCAGTTTTAAGACATGAAACTGATTTAAGCTTTGTATGAAAACAAAATGAAATTTACTGTCACAAGAAAGTTTTCTGTAATCAGGGTTTTGTAAAATGTGTGAATATAATGCCCTAGTACTGGTATGATCGATAGTAACCTATATAAACTCTACTTTAATTTATTACACTACTTACAAATCATTCTCATTTTGTTTGTTTCAGTGAAACTGTTGAAGAAGGAGCTGAAAATGGTAACTATATAAATGCAGACTCAGTTTCATAGTGAGCTGGTGGAAAAAATAGTAATTCCATTATAGTGGTAATATAAAAAACAGTAGCTAATTTCTTCAAAATGGGTAATTTGAGATATATGTACTCTGTCATGTAAGAAGGGTGTTTTATTATCAGTTTTCCTTTATGAAAAATCTTTTGAAAACTATTTAAACCTTAAAAAAAAAATTCAATCAACCTACCCTATTTTATTTGGGAAATGCTAGTGGAAACACAAGTATTTTGTTTTTAGACCTGATCTGTTGAGGCTAAAATCTTTATTCAAGCAGTGTTCTTGGTTTGAGATTAGTGGATCACTTTATTCGAGCAGTGTTCTTGGTTTGAGATTACTGGATCACTTTATTTGAGCAGTGTTCTTGGTTTGAGATTACTGGATCACTTTATTCGAGCAGTGTTCTTGGTTTGAGATTACTGGATCACTTTATTCGAGCAGTGTTCTTGGTTTGAGATTACTGGATCACTTTATTCGAGCAGTGTTCTTGGTTTGAGATTACTGGATCACTTTATTCGAGCAGTGTTCTTGGTTTGAGATTACTGGATCACTTTATTCGAGCAGTGTTCTTGGTTTGAGATTACTGGATCACTTTATTCGAGCAGTGTTCTTGGTTTGAGATTACTGGATCACTTTATTCGAGCAGTGTTCTTGGTTTGAGATTACTGGATCACTTTATTCGAGCAGTGTTCTTGGTTTGAGATTACTGGATCACTTTATTCGAGCAGTGTTCTTGGTTTGAGATTACTGGATCACTTTATTCGAGCAGTGTTCTTGGTTTGAGATTACTGGATCACTTTATTCGAGCAGTGTTCTTGGTTTGAGATTACTGGATCACTTTATTCGAGCAGTGTTCTTGGTTTGAGATTACTGGATCACTTTATTCGAGCAGTGTTCTTGGTTTGAGATTACTGGATCACTTTATTCGAGCAGTGTTCTTGGTTTGAGATTACTGGATCACTTTATTCGAGCAGTGTTCTTGGTTTGAGATTACTGGATCACTTTATTCGAGCAGTGTTCTTGGTTTGAGATTACTGGATCACTTTATTCGAGCAGTGTTCTTGGTTTGAGATTACTGGATCACTTTATTCGAGCAGTGTTCTTGGTTTGAGATTACTGGATCACTTTATTCGAGCAGTGTTCTTGGTTTGAGATTACTGGATCACTTTATTCGAGCAGTGTTCTTGGTTTGAGATTACTGGATCGCTAATGGGGTACTTAGTTATAAATTATTGAAAATTATGTAAAATAAAATTATTTGCAAAATAACAAATCTTATCTTACAGAAGCATCTGATGGCCCCCTTCCCAAAGAAAGGCAGTTTTTGGAAAGTCTAACCCTGAAAGAGGCACAGAGAGGTAAACTATCATCTTTTAACAGGAGAATTTCATTTAGATTTGGTAGAGAGGTAAGGAGCATAGAAAATTAAGAAAGTTTTATATAATTAGAATCTGCCTGCAAAAAGAAATTGTCTAGAAACTTAATCGTTTAGGCTTAATAGGGGCCATAGAAAACTAATGTATTTTCACATATTTTTGTGTCGGAATTTGTTTTACTTAAGTAATAATTACAATTCTTTATACAAAAACATTCTTGGGATAAATTGCAGAGAAACTTAATTATTAGGTCACTGGTTTTTTTACCTCTTGAAAAAATCAAATATAAATTCATGTTTTTGATTTGATGCATTTCAACTTAATTGTTTAGACTTAATAAGGGCTATAGAAAACTAACATATTTTCACACATTTTTGTTAAGGATTTTTTTTACTTAAGTAATAATTTCAAGTCTGTATACAAAATAATTTTTGGGATAAATTGTTAAGAAACGTAGCTATTGGGTTACTGTTTTTTTTTTACTCTTTTAAAATTCTTCAACTGCAACTTCAAGTTATTTAATATGATGTGTTTCAGCTGCTGAATGTCGAGACCCTAAATCTGATGGAGCAGATACAATAATATGTATTGACACCTCCGAGAGCATGAGAGGAGCCCCCATACAGCAAGCCAAATATTTCGTCAACAGTTTCTTAGAAGGTACAAATGTTAATGTTAATACAATGTACAAATGTTAATGTTAATACAACGTACAAATGTTAATGTTAATACAACGTACAAATGTTAATGTTAATACAACGTACAAATGTTAATGTTAATACAACGTACAAATGTTAATGTTGATACAAAGCACAAATGTTAATGTAAATACAATGTACAAATGTCAATGTTAATACAACGTACAAATGTTAATGTTAATACAACGTACAAATGTTAATGTTAATACAATGTACAAATGTTAATGTTGATACAAAGTACAAATTTTAATGTAAATACAACGTACAAATGTTAATGTTAATGCAACATACAAATGTTAATGTTGATACAACGTACAAATGTCAATGTTAATACAACGTACAAATGATAATGTTAATACAATGTACAAATGTTAATGTTAATACAAAGTACAAATGTTAACGTTAATACAACGTACAAATGTTAAAGTTAATACAACGTACAAATGTTAATGTAAATACAAAGTACAAATGTTAACGTTAAAACAACGTACAAATGTTAATGTTAATACAAAGTACAAATGTTAATGTTAATACAACGTACGAATGTTAATGTTAATACAACGTACAAATGTCAATGTTAATACAACGTACAAATGTCAATGTTAATACAACGTACAAATGTCAATGTTAATACAACGTACAAATGATAATGTTAATACAATGTACAAATGTTAATGTAAATACAACGTACAAATGTTAATGTTAATGCAACATACAAATGTTAATGTTGATACAACGTACAAATGTTAATGTTAATACAAAGTACAAATGTTAATGTTAATACAATGTACAAATGTTAATGTAAATACAACGTACAAATGTTAATGTTAATGCAACATACAAATGTTAATGTTAATACAACGTACAAATGCTAATGTTAATACAATGTACAAATGTTAATGTAAATACAACGTACAAATGTTAATGTTAATGCAACATACAAATGTTAATGTTGATACAACGTACAAATGTTAATGTAAATACAAAGTACAAATGTTAACGTTAAAACAACGTACAAATGTTAATGTTAATACAATGTACAAATGTTAATGTAAATACAACGTACAAATGTTAATGTTAATGCAACATACAAATGTTAATGTTAATACAACATACAAATGTTAATGTTAATACAACGTACAAATGTCAATGTTAATACAACGTACAAATGTCAATGTTAATACAACGTACAAATGTTAATGTAAATACAATGTACAAATGTCAATGTTAATACACCGTACAAATGTTAATGTTAATACAACGTACTTAATACAACGTACAAATGTCAATGTTAATACAACGTACAAATGTCAATGTTAATACAACGTACAAATGTTAATGTTAATACATCGTACAAATGTTAATGTTAATACAACGTACGAATGTTAATGTTAATACAACGTACAAATGTCAATGTTAATACAACGTACAAATGATAATGTTAATACAATGTACAAATGTTAATGTTGATACAAAGTACAAATGTTAATGTTGATACAAAGTACAAATGTCAATGTTGATACAAAGTACAAATGTTAATGTAAGTACAACGTACAAATGTTAATGTTAATGCAACATACAAATGTTAATGTTAATACAACGTACAAATGCTAATGTTAATACAATGTACAAATGTTAATGTAAATACAACGTACAAATGTTAATGTTAATGCAACATACAAATGTTAATGTTGATACAACGTACAAATGTCAATGTTAATACAACGTACAAATGTTAATGTTAATACAAAGTACAAATGTTAACGTTAATACAACGTACAAATGTTAAAGTTAATACAACGTACAAATGTTAATGTAAATACAAAGTACAAATGTTAACGTTAAAACAACGTACAAATGTTAATGTTAATACAACGCACAAATGTTAATGTTAATACAATGTACAAATGTTAATGTTGATACAAAGTACAAATGTTAATGTTGATACAAAGTACAAATGTCAATGTTGATACAAAGTACAAATGTTAATGTTGATACAAAGTACAAATGTCAATGTTGATACAAAGTACAAATGTTAATGTTGATACAAAGTACAAATGTCAATGTTGATACAAAGTACAAATGTTAATGTAGATACAACGTACAAATGTTAATGTTAATACATCGTACAAATGTTAATGTTAATACAATGTACAAATGTTAATGTTAATACAATGTACAAATTTTAATGTTAATACAAAGTACAAATGTTAATGTTGATACAACGTACAAATGTCAATGTTAATACAACGTACAAATGATAATGTTAATACAATGTACAAATGTTAATGTTGATACAACTGATCAAAATATCTTTAGTTCCAATAAAGGAAACCAAAATTTAATCAATAAATCACGAAATTAGATACTCAATTTTAAGTTTAAAGCAACTGTGTGCTAATGTGACATCGTAGAATACACACGATATTTCTGTGTGCACTAGGTGTTGAGGAATGTGCTGTTGACCACGCTTTGGAGGAGAACATCGCCATAGTTACCTTTGGTAAAGTTACAGCAGTAGCACAGCATCTTACTAACGACTACTCAAAAATCAGGGACATCCTCGGTAAGTCGGTTTTATTTTAATCAATACTAGAACATGTGTGTTTCTGGTTAATCCGTTTTATTGTGTTCATAAATTTATTATCCTGATTCTTACCATTGCGTTATTCTAACGTTTAATATCAATCAGATTCTGATAATAGTCTGAAAGTTTCTGATACTTTTCAAGCTCATCAGAACTTTGAACCATTCAGTAAAATAATTGCAGCATAATGTTTTGTCGTAAATCCACCTGAAATATACATTACCTGTGTGATATCATATTGTTATATACATGTAATATTAAATATTTTTATATCTATTTTGACTTCAGAGGAGCTAGAGATCGAGGGGGCCAGTCCCATAATGACAGGCTTGGTGCTCTGTATGAGTGCGATCTATATAAGAGGTAACTTATAAAGTTTATACTATTTTAATTAATCATATAAACCTTTCTTTTACTTTAATTTTGTCTGACAAATAGTTTTGAATCCTCTGTATCATTATATAAGGGTGTAGATGCTTTACATATTACAAGGTATCGGTGAATACAGACAGGGTTAGGATTGGGTTTAATAGGAGGGGTACCCAGACACTTGTAAATTTTGACTACCTGTTAGTCTATGAATCTTAATCCAATTTGGTTCAGAACTGTTAAATATGTGTATCTTAATCTTTTTGTAAAACTCAGCTATTTTTGTCATATAGGTGGTGTGGTGTCATTCCGTAACAGAAAGATCATGCCTCGTATTATACTGGTATCGGACGGCCATGTGACAGACTCGAGGATAATGGACGGGCCAGATGTAGCCCATCCCAATGGAATGAGTGAATCAGAGGTAAGACCATGTTATAACACAGTTAATGATGAGGAACTTGGACAGAGATGGTTATAATGCTACTATGGGTAGATTTAGATATTTTATTTGGTGTAAACTCTAATAGGGACCATTTTATTACACATTTAATGATGAGGAACTTGGACAGAGATGGTTATATAATGCTACTATGGGTAGATTTAGATATTTTATTTATTATAAACCCTAATATGGATGCAATTTAATTCTAGACGGTTAATTGTGCACGAGTGTCACTATTGTGCTGTTTATAGATGTTATAAACAAATTTAACTACAGGTGAAATTTTGAAAGCTTTCCTTATACTTATACAACTTGATTCCCTTTCTAATCAATCTATCCAGTAAATAACAGGTACTAGTTAACTTATCAATACACAGTATTATTTGATAATAACTTACAGCTGACCATGGCAGGTAGTCATAGCTCAATGAAAGTTTAACAATAAGAACATCTTACATGTATAAGATGTTGTGTGTTGTAATTGGTTTCAAATCTTCAATGTCACCAGCCGAATCCATCCTTCCTCGATTGTTTTGAACTCTTATTGAGATCACTGATATGAGGGGATGTCAACAGTGCTGAAAAGTCAAATTATTGAGAAAATTGAATGTAGGTATAGATACCTAAATATGTGTTTAGTTTATGGCATTCCTTAACTTGAACTTGTTAACTGGTAGAAAGCTTTTTTAAACCTGATATATTTTAGCTGTACATCTTTATGGTAGTTTTATATATCAGTATCATTTACTGCTTTCAGTGCAGTGATTTCATCTGATTTTTTTTTTTAAAGGCTAAGCAACAGCTCATAGAGTTTTCTGATAGACTGAAGAATGAACATCGCAAAGTCACCTGTATACCTGTGGGTGATGCTGATATGGTGAGTGCCATCATTTTGTACCTTCATGTTATAATACCATAATATAAATAACTTTATGATTACTGTGTCTATCCATACACATCCATTTGTAAACAGTTTTAACTTTCTGATTACTGCCTGTCTGTCCTGTCTTCGATACTCCAGGGGTTTTGCTGACTTCATTATGCTCTTATTGAAGGTATGCGGCTATTTATTTGATTGGTCCCAGGTAAAAAACTTGACCATTTGTTAGGCTGATACATTTCTTTGAAGATTACAGAGGAGCAACACCCAAATTCAAAGCCAGTCAATTTTACCATTACGGGGCTGACAGATTCGTTTGATGTACATCAAAGGATCGTACTTCTCTTCTTGTCTCAAGGTGGCTCACACTGAGCCTTCCATTTCACTATGACATATTCCAGGGGTGCAGAGAGCGAAAGTGAGCGTAACCACTGGAGTATCAAGGATGACATCATTGTGGCCATATAAACAATGCGTAGATATCATGTATGTTCCAATACTTTTGTGATCGTGTATTTGAGGTACCCTGTGAATACAACTTTTTCAGAAAACAGAATGTGATGAAGGATGATAGTAAGTCTGTGTGTAGGGCCATTTGCTTTGTGTAAGGTTATAGAGGGAGTTTTGATACGACAGTGAAAAATAGTGAAACTTGGCAGAGTGCAGGGAGGCACTGTAGTCTAGTGGTAAGACTCCTGGCTTGTGACCAAAGGGTTGCGGGTCCGAGTCACGTCACAGCACTGTGTTGTATCTTTGAGCAAGATGCTTTACTCCGCTTGTTCCAGTCTACTCAGCTGTAAATGAGTACGTAGTTGGGAAGTGCTAGAATTGTTGAATGCTAGCTGTGACCGCCAAAATGGCAGCACCAGCTGTATGCTCCCCAGGGAGTTGAGAAAGATATTGGCTGGTTGCAAAGGCCCTATAACTACGGATAATAATTTGTGAACCCCTTTGAGACGACTTACAAACTAGGTTGTGATGAAGCAGAATATAAGAACCTCAAATTATTATTATTATAGTGCAAGTGTCACCAATATCTTTTCTTTCTGAAGTGAATATTTCCACTGCAACTTAATATAAAAGGATAATAGAGAATTCTCAGTTAAAAAAAATTACAACATGGAATTCCTTATTAGAGATTCTACATTAGGGAATTTCCTATTCGAGATTCTGCAATAGGGAATTCCCTATTAGAGATTCTGTAATAGGGAATTCCCTGTTAAAAAAATCTACAAAAGGGAATCCTCCATTATTATTTTTTTACAGTAGAGAACCCCTTGTAAAATGTTCTGCAATAACGAATTCACACTCTATAGGTCTACATCAAGAAATTCTCTGTTAAAGTTTATACTGTAGAAAGTCCTCAGTTAAAAGTTTTACAATAGGAAATCCCATTAAAAAACTCTACTATGGAAACCCCAGTTAACATTTCTACAATAGGGAATCTCCCATTTTAAGTCCTACAATAGAGACTGCAATAGGGAATATCCTATTTAAAGTTGTACAATAGGGAATCCCCTGTCTCAGGTTCCATACTAGGGAATCCCCTGTGTTAATTTCCATGTCACAATCACTTATAGTTGGCAGCTGGATTACCTTAACAGTGACTTGTGTTTGAAAGTTGTTTAAATAGTGTTTGAAAGTTGTTTAATTAGTGTTTGAAAGTTGTTTAAGCAGTGTTTGAAAGTTGTTTAAGCAGTGTTTGAAAGAAAGAGGTGAGATTGATAACACAGGACTACTTTCACTTTTGATATTTTATCATCGTGTAACAGGCAGTTCTGGAGAATTTGTGGTTTAAAAGAACTCAGAGAAGCAATAGTCATTTGAGCACAGCTTTGGTGAAGTAAATACTTTGAAGTAATATACAAAACAGAATTTCATTCAAAAAACATTTTTTTTAATGAATCTTTCAATTTTCAGAATGTCCTAGAAAATTTGGCCAACACAACAGGAGGTGAGATTGCCAAGGTGGAGGAAGCAAGGCAACTAAGTAAACAGTTTCTCTTGGACGTAAGTTGAACATTTACAAGTCCATATGAATGCCATATTTCACTTAAAATTGCATTGTCCTGCACAGAAGCCTGTAGGACACTTCTGTAAATACTTTTCTGCAAAGATGATATGAAATTGAACTGGAACTACAATAAAACAAATGCTTATTAAAAGTGTAATTAAACAATCGAAAGAGAGATATCACTGTTAAGTTTGTGATATATTTCAGTGACACAGCCCTTTAATAAAATTTGTGTCACAACATTACAGCAAGACAGCACTACATATTGTATAATAAACTCACCGTTACCTCACTGTTGTCGACGTCATACCATTAGTCTTCGACTACTACTGATGCTAATTCTACTGGTACAGACCTCCCGCTCTGTAGCATGGGGGCTGAATTTTCCTGGGTGATGTTTCCATAACATCTGTGATATATGATATATCAGTAAAACAACACTATAATAACATCTGTGATATATGATACATCAGTAAAACAACTCTATAATAACATCTGTGATATATGATACATCAGTAAAACAACACTATAATAACATCTGTGATATATGATACATCAGTAAAACAACACTAT